GCGGGAGGAAAGGAAGCCACTGCTGCTGCAACAACGCTGAATAGTAAATTATAAACATGTTGTCCACATCAAATTATTGGCAGGGACAAATAGGTCGGTCCATAATTTTGGTAGGGACATGTCCCTATGGTCCCTATGCAAACCTACACCCATGGATGCATGAGTTTAAATTCCCAGTTGATTTTCTGTAATCCATACAGTCTAAGATACTTACATACATTCAACAACAGTGTTGAATAACCCAGATCTTTTTCGCTTTAAAGACCAAGTTAGTCTTTCAAAAGTAACAATAGTCAACCAAAGCTAGAGTCTCTATTTGGGCTATGAAAAAGGATTTTGCACACTTGGTTGGATTGACTGGTACTCAGGACAACACAGAAGGTAACAACAGATCAAGGAAGGAGAATTTTAGATTTATGAAAGTTAGCAACGTCGTTTGTAAACAACTTTGGAGATGCAGCAGCAACAGGCTTGTTGCTGACCATTTAAAACTATCCTGAGTACATAAATTATTTACCAAGGTCTAACAAAAGGTCCCAACTGGTGATCCAAAAGCAATCTGTCAGGATAATCCACAACGCCTTCAAGAACTTCCATGGCTGAAACCTAGCATGTACTTGGGATTGCAGGAACACCAGTCCCCCTGGTTACTGAAGCTGGTTTGACATCACTATATAAGAGGGTGCCGACCAGAACAGGGGCAATCAAATTTTTCTACCCACTCTAACACTGTAAACCCATACTGCTGCATATCTGCAGAGGGCCTAAAATGACTGAGATTGGTTGTTGCCATGTCAGCAGACCCAGTGACGTTGGAAAAATGTTAAGTTCACAAACATTATGACTGAAATACATAAGATGGAGGAAGATAAGACAAGGCTTTCAAACATAGGATTTAGCTTACTGTTCAGAAGAATAAAAAAAAAAAAAAAAAAAAAAAAAAGGACTAGGACAAAACTAAGTTTTGGTAATAAAAACCAGTTACAACCCCATTTGGAGTTCTTCAAAGCTTCATACTCAGGCTACTTTTTTAGATTTCTGTATCTTCTGTATAGCTCAGATTATAAAGCACTGCAACATATCTTACTTTTCACTTCTCAGATATAATAAGTGGAACGAGACAGAAATCCTTCCTGCTTATTGTTGAAACACATAAGTCCAGACCAAGACTTAAGAGGGCCAATAAAAATAAATGTATGTAGGGTCTGTTAAAAAAAAAAAATAATAATAGTAATTGTAGGAAAATGTATCAATATCATACATATTGGTATCAATTTCTTGCTCTGAGGCCCTTTAATTATTATTATTTTATTAAAAGTTGATGGGGGAATAAAGGCTCTCCACTTTCTAATTTTGTAATTAGAAAATTCTAATCCTAAAATTAGTGCTACATTTGTGCGTGTGTTTTTTTAAACTTTATTTAGCAATAATATATATCAAAAGATACTGATAAAAACTAAACAAAAACTTTACAGAAAGAAACCTTGACATGGAACAGAAGGGACAATGTTATACAGTATAAATCATAGTTAAAGATCAGAGCATTAAACAAGGAGAATAAATGTATCTAAAAAAGAAAGCAATTTACCAGCACATCTGGCATGAGATTTTACTTCATTCTTCCTTTGGATATAATTATATTAAACTTTGTGAAACAACTCAGGGAAGTTGGTTTAAATTGGGTGTTTGAATATTCAACTTCCAAGGATCTTTACATCCAGCTCAGTCGCCTGGTGAATATTCAAATACACAATTTCAAACAAACCAACTTCACCACGTTTAAAGAAACTAAAATTTATTAAAACATTTGTTTTATAAATTTAAAATGAAATAAAATAAAATATTATGATAATAATTAAATTATTTAAATTTAATTATTTATAAAATTAATAATTAAAATTAAATTATTTATACCATACTCCCTATGCCGTGTGCGTGTAATAATTTTTCTGGAAAGACGAACCCGCAGGCGAAATAAATCACTTGGTCTCTAGATGGCAGTGTTAAAGTATTATAATAAAAAAAAAAAAAAAACACCAGTGTTAAAGTATTATAATAAAAAAAAAAAAAACACGAAGAAGAAACAATAACGTCCAACTGTAAACATGATTAAATCGAGGTGAACAAGCTTGCAATGAAGGTTGTACTTTATTAAAATTATACGTTTCCTGTTACCATTTTTTTTTAAAGAAGAACAGAATGTTAAATTGTTTTTTTTTTTTTTTTGTGCCCCTGACGATTATTTCCATTATTTCAGCTATTATTTTGAAAATCTAAACCGGAAATACAATATGCGTCATTGATACTTCATATCCTGTCGTCTTCATTTTTAACGTTAGGAAAACAAATACGTTTTATTGGAACTTAAATTGTGTAATTAATGGGAAGGTATAAGTGTGCGTACAACTGCGAGGATTCAACTGACCCGGATATAAAGTTCTTTAAGTGAGTCCTCAGTTAAGTTTGACTGTTTAGTAGTACATAAAACAGATAGCTATCCATTGTGACATCCATTGTGATCAAAGATATCTATTTATTGAAGGCCAATTAAAAATGTATTTGTGCACCAATGCTCCCAAAATGCTTGGTGTTAAAATATCAAGGCATTTAAAGCAGAAAAGCGAGATTTTTTCAGACCTCTTTGGAAATCAGACTGCTTCATCAGTTCTCTACCTTCCACCACAATGGACTGCTGGACCCTGTCTATTTAATGTTTTCTACAGTCATAACAATACCTTATAAAACATGTATTTAATGATTTGATTATATTTACTACCATGTCCTGCATGGTGTATAGTATGACACATAATGCTCTGAAGAAGATGACAGGGTTATGAAAAGATGGGATTTTGCATCCATCTTTTCCTAAAAACCACCTCTCCATCTAGCAGTCTGTAAGAATGAATCATTCAGCTAGTGTCAGATTTATGCTGTAACTTATTTCCTTTTTCTTGAAGATGCCTTTCAGACACTAAATAAACAGTGATCTCCACACCGTGTAATATGAAGTCAGATTGAGAAACTGAACAAATGATTTGGGAATAATCCAGCAAAATACAAAGAAAAACTTTTGAAGATGTTAAAACGCTGGGAGAACTATTGAGTTCATGAAATAAAGAGTGGCCTAAGACATTATTAACTGTTAATATAATGTAAAATGTATTATTTTTAATAGCTAGAGGACATTGAGTCAAATGGGTCTGAGTAGAATAAATAAATTTTGAATGAAAGAGCAAAGAATAAATCTGCAGTATTATGACTGGTAACATGCTTCAAACGGAGGCAAACTCATTTTGGGTCTTTTTCTGTTTATTATGCACCGTCAAAATAGAAGCATCCTGTCTGACATTAATGCTCAAGATTTCCATGATTATACATTGTAAATCATTTGATGTAGTGGACCATCATAAAGTTAAATCTGTTCTAATGATCTGCATGTTATTCCAGGTTCCCAATATACAATCCCAAAAAACTCAAAAAATGGCTCTCCAACATGAAGTTGAAAGACTGGACTCCGACTCGCTTCTCCGCGCTGTGCATCAACCATTTCGAGGAACAGTACATCGACAGATCAGGGAAATGTGTGACGCTACGAGATGATGCAGTCCCCACCATATTTTTACCTCATGACAAAACAGAGAAAAATAAGGTTTGAACTTTTGTCAGGTCAGATCTTCTAGTTAAACAGCTTTGAACAGAGTGTCAGTGAAATATGTATCTTAGACTCATGTCACTTTTTATGCAGACTTCTGCCAGCCCTGGGCGTAAAAGACTTAAGGTCAGATTCTTATTCATATTTATTTAATTTTCCATACATATTACATTTTTTGGTGAAAATGTGATGTTCTCTGGCTATATAAAATCAACTGAGAACAAAAAATAACATGTGCTTCACATTTGATTGATTTAATTCCATGTGAATCCAGCCTCTTGGACCCAAAACCTCAGAGAAAGACTCAGCTTCCTCTTCAACATCTCCCTCTGAAGCCACAAACAACAGCATAAACAAAGAGCTAGACCAGAAAGAGGAAGAGCAAACAGGGTAAGTAATACCAGGAATAATTGCTATTTAAATGTGTTGCTATACTGTTACTTATAATATGTCAACTTTATAGGTCATTTACGGTAATTAATCCTCTAACCAGAAGAATGAGATTAATCTCTAAAAAGTTAAGTTTTAACACTGAGCATCGTAAACCAGATACTTGGTGGAAAAAAAAGGTTTTTATTGTTAACTAAAACTAAGGAAATTATGAAAACTAGAGTTAAAAAAAAAACAAATTTGTCGACTGAAATAAAAATAAAGATTAAATTGCAAAAAATTTAAACTAACTGAAACTGTATTGGGAGTTTAGAAAACTAATTAAACTTACTGAATTATAGGAGAGAATGGGGCCTCATGCAGCAACATTTCTAAATTCTTGTTGTAAATTGGGATCTTATGAACGCTCAACTGCAGATTTAACAAACATTCTTAACCTCAGTAAGTGATCATAAAGGATCCTCGTAAACCTGAAGCAGTCAAGCTGTGCATGTGTGAGTGCACGTTCCCAAGAAATATAAATCTGCACGATTATTGTCCCAATAATACCATATGAGGGGAATTCCCAGGCTTGTTCTTTCACTGAAATTCCATTGAATACGAAGAAGGTAGCTTTTAGCAGTTCGGAGATTGAGCTTCTACTGATGGAGAGCCGAGCGGCAGAATTAAAGAACCAGTAAAAGCCAAGCAGTGGGAAACTGATTACGAGAAAGTATATGCAGCGGTTTCACTGTTACAGAAGTAAAAATAAAGACGGTCAATGTAAACTACTGATGCAGGCAAGAGATGCAACATAAAATGTAAATAAATGCTTAATGTGAGTTGGCTATCAACAAACATGACGCATATTGATATACACACAATAAATTAAACCAGTTCTCTGGATATCATTAATCCTGCTGCAGATGTAGTGACCAATAGTTGTGTCCTTGGCGATAAAAAGGTCATTTATAATTGCAGATTTGCATAATATATAAGGACGTAGCCTAATAAAACTGCTAATTGCTTCTAAGTAACAACAGATTTGGTCATTTAGAGGAAAAACTAGGTTTGGATAACAGGTGACTGACTATGCACGACTCCTACTTCAAGTCTGAAGGAAAATTTGTTCGTACCTGATGGAAGATTAAAACCGGGAAAAATGGCAAATGGGCTGTTTTCCCTATATAACTAGTATAAACGATTTAAGAACTCTTTTTTCAGTTTTTGTTTGTGTTTTTATCATAATTCATTAATATGAGGTCTAATTTCCGTTTGCTGTTTTAGATTGTTTTCGCTGGACGGCATTACGCTAGCAGAGGGCAGGTAACTGTCAGTCGGTTCATTTGTATTGCTGCAGCGCTCTGTGCTTATCTGGGATTTTATTTATGTTTTTTATTTTCAGTCTTTCTCCCGGTATATAACTTGTTTTACATAAAAGACTAATATTATAACTAGTGTTGCACCGATACC